TTACTGACGGTGGTTTGTAAACATTAAGTAAAGACATAAGTCGCTGTCCAAGCTGAATGTCGACGAGTATAGCATAACTACAGTACAAGCAGAACAAAATGTTTTGTTCTTTTGCTTGTACTTTTGCTTGTGCGCGAGAACGCGCTGCTGTAAACATACGGAATTTTCGATTGGGGAAGGCAATAGGCGGGCTAGTACTCTTGTTACCGGTCTAATAAGCACTCCCCCCTTGAGAGCCGTCTTTTCTTATAAGTGTTCATATTCCAATAAACGCCCCTTCCAGCTTTAAAACTTATTCAACTTCACATCACTTGTGAGTACTGTAGAGGAGCACGAGACGAAGAGGACAAAAAAGTCTGATTTCCTGACGGGGGTCGACCCCGTGACCTTCTGCTCAATACTACTCTTCAAAATCAAACCGACACGTGAGCAGCAAGTCTACAGGGCTGGGCCGACACACTTTACTGATCTTGCGTACCTGTAATTTATGTTAAAATTAGAGCCCTTGAAATGCGGTGACCAAGCACGATCTGAAAGTGCGTGAAAAGAGGACATTTTCGAACCCTTAGTGTAACACCCCTCTCCACGGCAATGGTGTTCCCGTATGGATTCCCTAAGACCCTCTATTTCGTGCGCGTACAGCGCTAGCCAAACCACAACCTGACCACGCCCTTGGTTTTGGCGTTTTGTTTATCTTCGGGTTGGGCTGAAGCTTCAAGCCCACATACATAAGCGTAAACAGTATTTATTGATTTGCGTTACAGCCTGAATGAATACGTATTCAAAACGGACTCCTCAACTATTTGTTCAATTAAAAAGGCGCAAAAAGTAGCTCTTATATTATACTAGTTTGACCTATGACGGCTTTTTAAAGTACATTCGAAGATCTCAATAGACCGTTTAACGCTGGGTAGATAAACTAAAGACAAAATTCGATTGCTGTTGTATACGGTGTATATAGGAAAGAGGAACTTATGTACAGTCTTACTTGCCTTGTATTACTGGAGCAGTTTACGACAGCATCTGCTCAGTTTTGAAAGCAAATGAACCACATAAGGTTACATTTTTGGCCGTGGAGCATTCTACTTGTACATGTTTCATGCTGTTATCTTTTCAAATATGTGATGGAAAATAAAAAAAAAATGGTTTTAAATTCTTCAGAGAGACAATAGAAGCTAACTTTGTTGGCAGCTCTTGTCATAAAAAAAAACACATCTACAATTTAATTAAATAAATTAACAGCTAAGTGAGCCATGCTCCGTTTTCTCAATAAAGAATTAAAATAGCGCGGCTTAAATACTCCACTTCTCGAATTCTCGAGTTACAATTTTATGCTTTGCTTCTGCTACTGGGTCGCTACTCGTTATACATGTACACGACTGGTTTGCTATCAAAAGCATCAACCGTGAAGGTTTCTAAGGTACATCAGCTTCAATATTCTCCTTCATCCTTACCGTACATTTTCTATAGGGAATCTTGGGAGAATTTGGTGTAAGCCAATACGTCCTCTTTTCTCGTAGGCTGCCGGCCAACGTGATTTTCAAATTTTGCAACACTTTTTCAAATTTTCGAGCCTGGAGTGAACCGGAGTAGGAAAGTGCTGAAAATCTGGTACATTTTTTCAAATCATGTTAACAAAGAAGGTAGTAGTACTGTAATTAAGGAAACAACTCTAAGCTTAGGTACATCCTTCGCATGTTATATAAACTTTGGTCAGCCTCGTCCATAACTTTGTTAAGAGAAAGGGTCCCTAAAAACAGGGTGTCTGTTAGCGAGCGATTAAAGGTTGACTAATGGAACGA